GCCGCGCGCGAGCCGACTGGACACGGACACACACGACGGACGATTTCTTACTGTTAATTCGAAGACAAACACGAACGAACGGACCGGGCCGGCTTGGCGAGCAACGCGTCTCCAAGACAAGTCTCTTAAGGAAACGATCATTCTTATATACTATATATACATATACATAGTAACGTTCTCGCTCGCCGCTCAAGGAAACAGTTCGACGACGTGGTGTGACACGTAATACGAGTGAAAACATTCGAAACACGCGCGCTCCGACCTGATCACACGAGACCTCTTCGAAGAAACGGGCAGTGACTGTGAGGAAACGAACAGGATATCACGGACTGCTATCCAGTGCGCTGTTTTCGTTTGTGAAACACCGTTTACGCACGTCCTCGAACACGTCTTCTTGGGATCGCCGCGATCGTACAGGTGAGTCCACCTCCTCAACGATCATCAGGATTTTTTTGTTTTTCTTTTTCGTTCGTTTCTTTCGTTTCTTCTTTTGGTGTTCGATCTTCCTTTCACAGGAACGGTCGCGAGGAATGTCTCGTGGGGTGGCACTAGCGAGAGGTGTTTCAGTGTACGATGAAGAATTTTTTAATTTACGTCGTTAGAATGTCTCGAGGGAATATACTTTGTAATTGGAAATTGATCGTTTCTTAGGTTTGTAAGGTGTATCGTGAGGAAATGTCATCGTTGCCAAGAACTGTCAGATCGATTCTGACTAACAGTGATGCTCTGTACTTTAAAATATTTAAATATATCATTTTTAAAGAACGGGTAGCTATTAAGTTTTTCTCTTTTCGTCTATTATCTGTTTATTCTAAAGGAAGTTTCAAAAGGTTGAAAGAAACCGTCCAGTGACGACAGAAGTGCTTCCGTTGGATTTTTATATTTTCGCTTCTAACTTCTTCAAAATCGTCAAATGATTATCCTGTTACAGTGCTTTTTATTTTCCCAGTGAGATTAATAAAATTCTGTTCCTTCGTTTCAAGTTGTATCGCAAGTTGTATCGCAAGTTACTTTCATAGTTCGATTGCTTCTTTTCTGTAAAATCTAATAGGAAATAGCGTATTTTTGAAGCTGAAGGATGTATTTTTCAGTCGCAATTAGGCGATTTCCCTTTGGTCTAAGTGGCTTGTCTGTCGTTCACAGATACATTCCCCTTTTTCGTAGACATTTCTCAAGCAAAGACGCGTCTCTGATTGTGTGGTGACACTCGTGGTGACAGTGTACAGTGGTGGTGGTGCTAATTGTGAGCTAAACAACACGATTAATCAATACGATTGCGAGATGAGAATAAATTTTGAAAATTAGTCGGAACGAGGGACAAATCGTACACTAACGATCGTATGAAAACAGTGCAAGTGACATTTCGTTCTAAGAATTTGGTTAAAACACGTGTCACTGGACGTTTGTGTGATGGAAAAATTTCTCGTAAATATAAGAGTCTGTTAATAAAGTGACAATTACGTATTAATTTCGTCATTATTAAATCGAAACACAATTGCCGAGGTGCAAATATAATGAAAATCAAAGTCACGTGTGCGCGTAATTAAAATATCGCAAATATGAATGTTTCATTCTCGGTATATTAATATTCCAGTCCGTGTATATTAATAAACATATGCCGATGGGCTTCGTCATCGGAAAACTATGCGGCTGATCTTAAAACAAAAAATAGGAGAATATTTTAACAGTTAAGATTTCCATTCAATTTGCAAGAAGTCCAGTGAAACGCGTATGAATAAATATAGTCGTTTTCAAAGAAAATGTGAATGAAATCGAGTCGATAAAATCTTTGATCAAGACGTGTGAAAAACTATTAGAACATTTTTATAGTAACACATTCTACTATCAAATATACGTAAAATGGTATAAATTGGTTGGTGTTGAAATAGTAATGAAGGTATTATTATTAGAGCATTAGAAATAACTCGTGGAACGTGTATCTAATAAAAAATGTACGAATCGTCCGCCTCGAAGTAGATACGGTCAGTTCTTGTCAGACGTAAGATGATACATACGCCCGAACTACTCTTCCGTCGGCAACCAGATAAAACGGGACATGTTTAGAAAATAAAAGATGAATAACACGAGATAATGAAAGATAACATTATACATTTTTAAATGAAACTTGTAAAATGATAGATTAAAGATGCGAATAATACTGACGTTGCCGGAAATTGAAAAATAAGAATAATCATATCTAACATACGTATCAAATCATTAATATACACTAAAAAGTAATAAAAACATCTCTAAATATCATGTCCGTATTAATAAAAACATATTTTCGTTTAATCACAATCGATCGTGTTATCAAGTCGTATTAAAACACTTAAATCGTGATTTAAAACCGATAAATGTACTCAAACTGTCTAAAACTCGATGAACGATCGATGTTATCGTAAAAATTAACGAAATTAATCTTTATAAGCATTTCCGACTCTAATCGTAAAATCACCACCGGAATAATCTTGTCCAGAAATTCGAATCGGCTGCGTTGGAGGACAAAACAACGTTTACAGAATGATTTTCGGTGCAATCACGAGAACTCTATCGAGTACGAAAAATTAGACACTTTCACAATACTATAAAGACCCCTAATCGTGGCCGCGTCCTCGTGGAACTGAGGGTCCGAAAATCAGTATCTAGCTTCGATCACGAATCCGGTGGAACCAGTTTCGCCGGTCCGAGCAAAGGGTTGGGCAAAAAATAAAAAAGAAAAAAGAATGTATGCACAGGCAGTCATGCAGGAAGGGTTACCGATGGAACGCAACCTCGGAAGCGTTTTGTTGTTGAAATGCCGCGTGGCAGTTGGCAACTCGATCGATGACCGCGTATAAACAGCTAATAATCAAACGAATCGTGTCATAAACAATCCTGCGGGGGCGGTAGAGTGGTGGTAAAAGTATAAATGAATTTCGATGGCAGAGTGGGGTGCAACAACGTGACGGGGTGGGGGTGATCAATTTGAAAAGCATAGGAAATCTCGACCCGCTGAAAAATTTCGTTTCGATGTCCGACTTTCATCTGGATGTTTCCAGTTTTCAGTTACATCGATGTGTCATAGTGTGATTTCTCGAACATTCTAAGTTTTTTGATATTTTCGAATATCAAAAGTAACTTTCTTTTTTCCTCTATAACTTCGTTCAACGATTCTTTTCATCTACTTTGGACAGGGAAAGATCGTCAGATACAACGATAGGAAGAAAACACTTGATGTGCTTGATCGATTTTGAATTGGATCTTGTTCGAATCCCAAGCTCAACTTCTAAATCATTGGATCCGCTCAGATTTTGCGTAGGTTGCATTGAATACGTTGCGTATAGTGGAACATGTGTTTGATCAAGCCCGTGCTGCTACTTTGAAAAGCTGAACGCTACTTTCGCGTTGAAAGGTTTCATTGACGTTTGTTCTTGTTTCTATTAAATCGTAGAGGCACGCGCTATGGGAAAGAAACGAACGTGTTCCACTGCGAGAAGTCAGACAGTGGACTCTGCTTTTATTCATCTTATTCTGCGATGACGTGTCTCCGTACCAAAATATGTACCAACTTATTTTACTTTCGCGAATCATCCAACTTATACATGGAATCTGGTTAGATCTTTTTATTCGTTAAAAGTCAATTTCGTAATCCTTGTACGGAGATTCATTGAAATCCCAAATACACACCTTCGCAGAAATTTATATTAAAATGCAGCAGGCAAAATTGAATAAAGTTCAGGCAATATCAGGCAAAGTTCAAGCAAATTAAAATCAAGTAAGAGCATCCTGAAATTTTCAACGTTTGGTCAAATTTTTCGACATCGAGTCAAAGTTGAAAATGTCTACAGTCGTATAAATCACGCAAAAACGTAACAGGGATCACAGACTATATTTCATTTTTCTCTGTCACCCATCGTCAGTTTAATCTTTCGCATCCCTTTACGCTGCATGTCAACGCTTCCGTTAAAATCAGACACCTTGTCCCTTCGTTAACACTCAAAACTTCTAATAGCGCAGGGAATCTTTCGCTATTCACTTCTAAACCTGTCAAATAATTCCCACGTCCATCCCGCATCGTTTACGTCCTTTGTCAGCGCGAAAAGTTCGAATCCTGACCCTTTTCCTGACTATTTCTTCGAAATACCAAAAAAAAAAAAAAAAAAACAGAATCCTGAAAGATCCGGGCAAAAACTAAAACCTCGGAGCTGGTACGTCCGATCGGGAAGAAATGGGGGCGAAAGTGATCTTGCCGGTCACGGCACAGCAACACGACGACAGGACTGAATACGTACACGTCGAAGATCGATGTGCCTAAAAAAGGTCCTCAAAAAAAAAAAAAAAAAAACAACACACTGACAACAATATATACCGACTCTGTGAAAAAGCACGAGGTCGTTCTCGTTGTTGTCGTCTCCCGTTGGTGGGAGACTCTGGGTGGTCAAGGTGGGGGTATGTATGTTCCGAGGGTGAACGGTATGATAACGTCGAACAGGTCGACACGCGATGTATCGGTCGGTGAAGAGAGGAAAAAAATGGGGGTGGACGGGGAGGGGGAGGATTGAAGGTTGCCCCCGAAAGAATCGAAAGTTTCGTCGAGTCAGAGTGAGAGAGAAAAAGAGACTGTGCGATCGAGTGAAGAAGAAAAGAGAAGGAGAGGATTGAAAAAGGGGTTGGGTTGAGTCGTGGTTGCTTGCAAGGGCTAGTATAGAGAGAAAAGAGAGAGGAAGACAGAGAGGAGAGGTTAGGAAGAAGGGGTAGCCTGGTATCGAGAAAGAGAAGGGGATAGTGGTAGAGAAGGTATAAGGAGGGGTAGAAGGAAAAGTCTGTCGGATGGTAGGGGTACACGAGGCGAGGGTGAGTGGGTTAACTGCAAAACCCGATCGTCCGTGTTTTTATCTTAAGACGACTCTCCGACTAGAAGCCGCGTAGGAGACGAAGAGAAGAAGGGGTTCGTCGGTGGTGATTCTGGAAGGGGTTCTTCTCAAGCTCGGAGTCCAGCTGGAGGGGTAGAAACGACAACGGCGGCGGCGTCGACGTCGGCGG